TGTTTCGGACAACGTTTGTTTCTAGGTATATAACGTTTTTTTTATCTACATTTTATTATGAAATCGAGTTTGTTTTTTGTTTCAGTTTTTGTCTTACTGATGATACTAGTACATATCACAATAATTGTCATTTTGCTAAGCCCAGATTAACTTATACGGAAATAGTTTTATTGTGGTAAATGCGATTTTTTAAAGTTCTGTTTAAAGCTTATTTTACAACATCGTATTTATGATAGACTATTAACTGATCAAAGCATTTCGTGTTTCAAAATTATTTCTATGGATATAAAAAAAGACTTAAATACTGTTGAACTGTATATACCTTTGAGTACCTTTCTACCAACATTGCATCTTTTGCCTTCTGGTAAGGATCGTTTGGTGTTAACTTTTCACCGGGGTAGGTTTCGTCAAGATACTGACAAACGATTGGAGAATCATACACAATTATATCATCTTTTTGTATAGCTGGCACTGTGCCAAGTGGAGCAAGTTCTAGAAACCATTCTGGTTTTTCCTTCAAATTGATATTGACAGTTTCAAATCTGTAATAAATTTCAAATAGAAAAATAATCAATTCGATAGTTTTTAAGATTAGTTGTTCAAGTTATCTATTTATAAACCTAGCGATCAGTGGTTAATTTCCTATATATCATTCACTCGTCGTAAAAGTGCATATGTAATCAAAGCACAGAAGGCGCTGAATTTGTTTGGGTCTCAGAATGTCAGAAAGGTGAAGGTTGTGAGATTATAAACCAATTTGTTTTTGTATAGTGCCACCAATGCTTTCCAGCGTTTTAATTGTGGAAACACTGATATTCAATCCAATGTTTATTTGACTCAAACAATTTTAAAAAAAAATAAGTTGCCTTAAATGGGATTTGAACTCCAGACCTCTCGCTTCCTAAGCGAGCGCGCAAACCCCTTGGGCACGGTGAATTTATATGTTAAAGGCCTAAAGAAAACCATGATATTCCAAATTAGGGTTTGTAACGCCGCTAACTGTTGTTTAACACAGATGTAAATAATCATGGAGCTTACTATAAGCATGTATATCTATAAAGAATAAAACAATATTAGAAATCTTCGACCGTTCGGAAATTATTTTGCTTGAAAATTAATGCGCCTGTCATTTGACTATCTTTACGCAGTGATCTCCCCTGAATTTTTCGGCGTTAGTTTACATATAAAGGGAAGTAACAGCTTCAAAAAAGCGGACTACTTTCGGCAATTGCAATTAACAGCATTAGAGTCAGAAACTTCGCTACCATTATTTGTTTGGTCTGACGACCCAAACAAATAAAAAATCATTTTAAAAATTTCATATTAACTTTTTCATATATTTTCTCTTTTTCATAGATGTTTTAAATTTTTAAGCTGTATTAGACTGTGGCTCGGTTGAAGAGAGACATTTGATAAATGGCAAAAATCCTAAAGTAGAAGTAATTGATGATATTTACTCAATATTTTTATGAAGCATCACCATTCGAGCTCTCTGGGCATATGGACACTGTATACCCGCAGCTTGCCAGACTCTAAAGCTGGAAACTCGCTTCCTGAAAATAAAATATCAATTAAGAGAACTATTTGCAAAATTATTAAAGTTGAGATTTTTTGGTCGTAACTGACATTGTTACTTCCGTCGTATCTGCATATATGTCTCAGTTAAATTTAATGCAATATTCGGCCACAAAACAGAAATGGGTCAATAACATTGATTTTGAAATTAGATATCATAAAAACCCCAAAAAATTTCCATTTTTACTTTGAAGTTCGAACAAAAATCATGTGTGTCCATCTTATTTTTACGAAACTGACATTAACAAGTTTTTATTTTGGAAAAATTGTCATTCTGTATCATTATACATCTATTCGTGCATATAAATGTATTGAAAGATTTTGTTTTTCCGTATTTAAGAAAATTGCACAGCGTAAACATGTTGAATGTCTCCTTGTACTTTTATTTAATCATTAATATTTGTAAAGGTGATTTCTGACACATAAATAGATACACCTAAAGTATTATAAACGCCAAACTATGAGTCCCGTCACGTCAAAAAAATGTCTGTAAGGTCCCTTCAAGATTTTGGAATCTGTCAAGAAATATATTTATGATATATCAATATATAAAAGTGTGTATTTCTGAATCGGTTGTGCTGAAGAATGCAATATGTTTAAAGTGCAATATTCAGCCTTGTAAATGAATATTTAAGAAACTCTTCATATCATTGAAATAATTTTCCTTACTTTGTTGTTTGAATTTGTATTAATATCACAGTGAATTCTGAAGTCAACAATTCAGGTATAGCGATGTTACTTTCACATTATTTTAGTTGTTTTAGTATTGTGCAATTTTTATATTTAATCATTTTTCTGTATCAAAATAATACTATTAAATATCAAAAACAAAATGTGTTAAAACAATTACCTTTCCTATATGCAATTTCCGACGGCATTTTTTCCTCTTGCAATATTATGATGTGAGTGAAGTCGTGTGTTTGGTATTCTTATTTATAAACTACCCGTCCTACTTTATAATCTTCGCAGATAAGAGCGGTCCTCGTTTTCAAACTTCTACTATTATGATAAAGGTTTGTTACCTGTGTGTATTTGAGTTTATTTATATTCGCATTTATATTCGCAATCGGTTACCCATATCGTTGAGTCCTCAATCCTCAAGATGAGTATTAGTCATTTTAAATTTTTGGAGGTTAGTACAAAATACAGAAGTACAGAACGACCCTCCCCCCCCCCCCCCAAGTCCAGAAGCTTCTACGGGTTCTTTAATGTGTCAAGTGTTTATAATAAGCATTTCATACACGGGAACTCGATTTAAAGGCTCATCCGAAATACTACTTATTAGTAATTTTGTTTGGCGGTCCGGGAATCGGACCCACAATGTTGAGATTATGAGTTTCACGCTCTAACCGATTGAGCTATGCAGACTGGCATATTTGTTATCTGTTTACAACAGAATCCAAAATATCTAAACCTTTTTGTTTGTATGGTTTTACAAACATTTTCAGTATACCTGTTTGAATTGGTATACAAACATTTGATTATAAAAGGATTTCAGTTTGAAACCCCTCGCTAGAAGTATTAGGCAGTGACCAGTTTTAGATGTTTTTACTTTTTGTAATTTGCATAGGTATTTTTTTCGACATAATTTTAAATGACGTAACGCGCCACTTTTTTAGTCTGTTCTTCCTTTGATTTCTCCGATTCGTAAATGGTATAGAGCATTTTTTCTTAACGGCAAACTTTGTTTTGGTATGAAAATCAAAGACATTCAGTTTAGCCTTAATAAGGTTCTGAGTGGCCATGAACATCTTAAATATATTATAGATTTATTTTTATTCAATAGCCTAAATTCTGTGCACACGGTTACATAACTTTGTTATTGATTTTAGATATCATATAGTGCTTTTTTATCTATTTCATCCTCTTTTTTGTTAGACTCTCAAACTTATTTTCAATCACGAATGATAAACCTTTAAATGGGTAGTGGTACTAAGGGATAGTTTGTATCTAGAACATGCGTTCTACATTATAGTCTTTCTCGTTTAAAAAAGACGAACTTTTAAACGTTAAATATTTCCCCCTCTTTCTTTGTCCCAAAAATACCCCCCTTTTTACCCTGACGAAAATTAAATTAGAATTTTTTTCAATGGTTTTTAGGGTGAAAGGGGTTTTCTCCTTTTTTTTAATTTTGAAAATTGCAGTAAGTCAATTTTATATTCTATTAAGTAAATGGTGAAATTTATTAGACAAAATAGAGAGGTATATTCACAAACATAAATAAATTTTAGCTTGTATCGATATTTGAAAGTGTGTATCGATATTGTATCGGATGGTGAATATCGATGATATATCGATATTGCGATATTCAATGACAGCCTTGGACTATTTTTGTTGATTACAGATAACAAGTAATATAAACTGCTTACAACAGGAGATAATTCTAAAATTTAAAGTACCCTGGAGCATTAGCATAATTGTATAGCGTTGCAATAAATGAATTTATGTACATGTATAAATTTTATATAGATATTTCATCGCAAAAGATATTTACTTACGTTTAACACACATCATATATTTAGTGCATGTTATAATAGGCATACACAATAGACAGCTCGGTTTTTCGTCTGCGCTCTTAAAACAAAATTTTCAATAAATACAGATTTTTTTCAGACGATTGACATATTTATAGGCACTTAAACATGCTACTCGTACAATAATATGAATTGAGCACGGATTGCATATACATGTATATAGTAAAGTCTGATAAATATCTGTTATTTATCGTGTTAACACGAAAACTAACTAGTTGGTCAGATAGTTAATGCGATAATTATATGGTTAACTGTTGAAAGAAATATGTCACCATACAAACAAGTTTAAAATATCGTGTATAAAGCTTGCATACGCAATAATGATGATTATGTTAACCGAATTTAAATCAAGTTCAAATAAAGAATTATGAACTAAAATGACAAAATGGCTAAAATGACAAAATGATAGGATGTAAAATCCTGGTCAGCTAAAATCTTTGTACTTTTTAAGAAAGTTTGTTTAGGACTTCATGATTATGAATGAACCAAAAGTTAAGATTTTTTTCGCATTTTGTATGTGCCGTACTTATGCATCTATTTTAAAATCCTACGTTGCATGATATATTTCACGACGTTCAAGTTGCAACTTGTGTTAATATTTAAAGTACTGCACGTTTCAATAAATAAATTAGATCTTTCGTGTTTTCGACTAAACACGGGGACTTTGCTGTATTCTAAATTCGTTGTAAAGAATCTTGACAGCGTCTCAATCTGGTTTATTTACAAAAGGCTTTTTATATAAGGTCATATATATACCTGTCATAAAGTAATAATATACACGCGTATATAGTTACTACAACTTGATTAAATAAGTGCACATGTAACTGTTATTACTAGACAAACTGAATACCGAGATATCTGTATACATACAGTTGCATGTAGTACAAGTTTCATAAAAATCCGCTATAAATAGAAGGAGTGATCCGTTAACCAACACAATAACTAAACAAAAATTGTTCTATTTAATGTACCCAAAAGCGACCAGAGAATGAAAAACTTAACTTTAAATTAACAGGAATGATACTCGGATTTTTATGTAAACATGTCTACTGAAAGAGCTCTCGGGTCAGGTAAAAAACTGTTTCTTGCTTTTTAAAATTAATAAACTAGTTCAAATTTTATAAGTGGATATGGTAAACAAATGTTGCATAACAACTGCTTATATAAAAATGCTGACTTCATACTGTATCGAACAGTTTAGACGATAATTTGTACCATGTAAAATTAGATAAGTTCATTATTACAAATGTTTAGTATACATACATGTTCGAGACAGAGCAATAGGAAATATAATATGTACATTGGCGTCGAATAGGCTCCTTCACTCTTCCCCACCCCACCCTGGGAGTGTGATTTTCTTTTAACAATATGCAAACAAAATTGATATTTTTTTCTGAATTTCCTAAGAATTTAAGATTACGACATTATAGATTCTTGACGTTAAGTATAATATACAAGCAAATAATAATAAGATAAAATAAATGAATAATCCACATAAACAATCCATAATCTAATCACAGGAGTTTGACATTCTATCAATAAGCAAATAATTAAGAAATAACGGCAAATATACCCCTGTATATATTGTATAGAGGTGTATATTAGAATAGTATAACATGTATAGTGTATTTTAAGTCTTTAATTTATAAACTAGGACATTAAAGTTGACGAAATCTTGGTACAGAGCAAGTGATTTTTTTTTGTTCCACGAGAATCACTGAATTTCATCGTCTTTTAATTGCACGGAGATGATTGTCTTTTAATATAGCGCTTACTACTATGATTGAACGTTATTGAAATCTATCCAAAAGAACATTAATCGTAATCTGAACTATTCCATCCAAAAATCGACGAGCTCCGTACCCGAAAAGTCACGTGGTATGGCCACATTGTATTAATGTTGAAAAACGCCTACTAGTACCTGACACGGTCGTCAGCATTAATAGTATTAACGTTAATTACACAGTTTGTGACTATATGTAAGTCTTTTTATTTTATTAAAGGAAGTAAGTATCCGCCCAAGGTACCTGGTGTTTTACGTTTGTATGGCATGAGATTCTGCCCCTATGTGAAGAGAACGCGACTTGTCCTGGAACATAAAAATATTCCGTAAGTTAACACCCATCTATCATGCAAACAAATGAAAATGTGATATAGGCATCAATGAAAAATATTTAACTAAACTAAAAATATTTTCATAGACTAATATATTTAAATATATGATGATATGACGTACCTTTTTCAATTATTATAATTATATTTTTTCTCATCAAGGTACGAAACTGTCAACATTAATCTCATTGATAAACCGGACTGGTACCTGCAAAAGATCAATTGTCTAGGACTGGTTCCATCCATAGAGACTGATGATGACGTCATATTTGACTCGGTTATTGTTAATGAGTACATTGACTCCGTATATCCTGGTGAAAAACTGATTCCCAATGATGGACGTCGAGCGGCAAAAGACAAAATGCTTCTTGAAATATGGTCCAAGGTTAGATATATCAGACTTTTTTAATTTCTTTAACTTTCAGTTTAGCCTAACATTAAAAGAAATTCAGTACATCTTTAAAGAAATTTACTTTACTCGAAGAACAAATAAATGGATAATTATAATCAATGAGTAATACTCATGTACTAATAATATCAGTGGTACTCTGGTGCCTTTTCTGCCTGAAATAATCCACGAGAGAGAGGGAAGCTTTGGCCCTTTTCAGACTTCAACAGTACGTTGTATTACGTAAATTATTTAACTAAAGCATGTCTGTGACGCCTTTAAAACAAATTCGATTACATAAGATATTTCCACCAGTTTTTTACATATTCATTAATACAATGTATGTTTCCGCTGGCTCGTTTATTTGTTAGTATTAAGCACCTCAATATAGAACAGAATTAGATACATGTGTTAATACTGAAGCTCCAGAAGGTAAGGCAAGAGAATAAAAATGCAAAATATTGAGAATATTATAATCGGAGTGAAACTTGATAAAGTAGTAAAAACCTTTTTCTAAAGTTCCACTCTATATTATATTAAATGTATGTTTTGTAGAAAAAAAACAGTTTTACCAAATTTGACATTGCTTTCTGTGTATTTAAAGGTTGTGACACAGTATTATAAATTGTTTTATCCAAGTGGTGAAACAAATGAAGTTGTTCCCAATATGTTATCGGCATTAGATCGTATCGAAAATGAACTAGCAAGGAGAGATACTAAATTCTTTGGAGGTATTTATCTGTTTTGATTCGTATTTTTCCTTGTTTTAACTTTTTTTTCAAAATTGTAAACATATTATTAATTTAAACATATTCAATTAATGCAATTATTGTATACTCATGAACTCGTATAAAGCTATAATGTAACTGGTGTTGAATAAGCGCTTAACGGTGACATTGATATAAAGAATTTAAATCAATGAAACAATAAATTGATAAATATGAAATGACAACTGAAATGGTATAGAGGAATGTATTGTTAATCTTCAAATACATTTCGTCGGTTTTCTCATTAGTTCACAACCGATCTATACAACATTGACTGCAATTGGAATTGGCAAATATGACGGTCTTTGCAATGTTTATCAATTTTAGTACTGAATCACATTAAAATCTAAAACCTGATTAATTCTACCGAAATCTCACTATGTTCTCGTTTAACTAGGAGACAAACCTATGATGATTGACTTCAATATGTGGCCACACATGGAACGCATAGTTCATTTTGACGTGCTGGTTCCAGGTTTCACCCTGGACGCTTCAAGATTTAAACGTTTGACGTCATGGATTGATGAAATGAACCGAGTACCAGCTGTTAAGAAAACAAAATTGAATTTAGACAGTTTTAAGATGTTCATGGTAACAATTAAAAATGGGAAAATGGATTGTGACGCGGGTCTTGAAGAATAGACTATTATAATCAAAACGTCACATAATACATATTCGTGAATTTTCGTTTTAAAGACTGGAGTATAGACTGTAAATGTTTAAAATCGTAAGCTTTGGCTTATAGGCTTGTAGCCAAAGGTATTCTGAGAATAAAAATGATTGTAAGTTTATGTGACAAATATGGAGAGAAAAGAAATGCTGATTTTCATATGTAAAAATATTTCTTTCATAGAGGTATTTTTAAATTATTTTTTTACAAAATTCAAACACTCAAAAATGTGTTAACGATAATATAGGCAGCATATATATAGCTTTAAACATATTACATTTTCATTTAAACTTATTTTAAATTCATACAGCACTCAATACTACAGATATTATATGCAAATTTGGTATTTTTCTTAAATTTGGGTTGTTGTTGTTGTTTTTTTACACCCAGTGCCACTATCACACACAAAGCCTTTAACCATGTTATTTCTGGCACACGTTATTGTTGAAATGAAAGAATGAAAGAAAAGCTTTAAAAAATTGTCGGTATTGAATTAGATACGGCATTACGAAAGAAATATCATGTTACATGAAGAAGGTCAGAGTTTCATTTATAAGCTTTTTTTTTAAGAAAATATGCATTGTTCTAACTTCAATAACAAAATAGAAATTGATTTTACATAGAAAACTAGAAATGTGTCATCATGCCACGGATGCCCCCGCATGCAGCCAAAATTTCAGATGGTGCATTAATTATTTTTTTCATTTTAAGTTCAAAGCCCTTAAAACTTTTCAGTGTTAACACAAAACCATTTTCATACAATGTTCAAGGCACTGAAATTATTCAGTCTTAACCTTTTAAAAATAGCATATTGCATATTTGTAGCCAAAATAATGGCCAAAAGTATGAGTGCTGAAACTGAAAGTTCAAAATTTTTCCAACATTCAGGAAAGATAAGTTTGTCTAAAATCATTGAACCACGACCAAATTCAAACTAAAACTGCTTATTCCTAAGATGTATCTTTATTTTTTCAAAGTGAAAGTGACATAGCTCTGCCAAAAAATCATCAAACCATGACCAAATTCCAACTTGACCTGCCCATTCCTTTGACATGTCCATATGTCAAATTTAAGTTGAATATGTAACACTGTTGGGTAGATAATGAACAGAAACTGTAAATTTCATATTATTTTCAAAGTGAAAGGGGCATTACTCTGCCAAAAGTCATTGAACCATGACCAAATTCGAACTTGGCCTGGGCATTCCAAAAACATATCCATGTGTCAAATTTGAGTTGAATGTGTTGTACCATTGGGGAGATAATAAACGGAAACTGAAAATTTCATATTACTTTGAAAGTGACAGGGGCATAACTCTGCCAAAAATCATTGAACCATGACCAAATTTGAACTTGACCTGCGCATTCCTTTGACGCATCCATACGTCAAATTTGATTTGAATGTGTTGTACCTTTTGGGAGATAATGAACGGAAACTGAAAATTTCATATTATTTTCAAAGTAAAAGGGACATAACTCTGCCAAAAATCATCGAACCATGACCAAATTCGAACTTGACCTGTATCTTCTCATGACATATCCATATATCAAGTTTGAGTTGAATGTGTTGTACCGTTTGGGAGATAATGAACGGAAACTGAAATTTCATATTATTTTCAAAGTAAAAGGGGCATAACTCTGCCAAAAATCATCGAACCATGACCAAATTCGAACTTGACCTGTATTTTATCATGACATATCCATATGTCAAATTTGAGTCGAATGTGTGCAACCGTTCTTAAGATAATGAACGGAAACTTATGATGACGGAATGACAGAAGGACGGAAGGATGGAAGGACGGAAGGACGGAATGACGGAACAGGGTAACACTATATGCCCCGGCCATTACATGGCGGGGGCATAATAAAAATGTTTAAAAGATCCTGTACACATTTATAAAGGCAAAAACATGGATGGTGTTATTTTCCAATTGCAGCATTATCCAGTCAGTAAGAAGTTGAATGCTAAGTGTTGTTGGTTGATAAGAATAAGAAATGAAACGCTTTTTTTTCTGTCTGAGTATGTATGTAACTATTATCTCATATATAAATTACTGAAGGTATGTAATATGTAGTCTACATCTACAGTGTAAAACTGACTCCGCGCCTTTGGAATTTTTCCCTTTGGACAGGCGACATTTATGGACAGTAAACTATGACTAAAATATCTTCTAGATAAACATAGATTGCATATTTTTATGAAGTCTTTTTATATCAGTGACAGTAAATTAGTAATATACTACGCAAAAGAGGCGCAGCTGGAATTATTGTAACCAGATTGTTATGGTATCAGGTTTGAACATTGCCTCTATTAAAACCACCAGCGGTGATCTAGTGCTGAGGGTGTCTGTCTCTGCATTCGTGGCTTATGGCTTTAACCTTTTACCCCATGAGCATATTGCAAAAAAAGGCCGTTTTCATTGAAAAGCCTCCTGTAACAAGTTCAAACTGCTATGAAACTGTACAAAATGCTTCAATACTAATGAAACTTGGCACAAATGTTGACTACACCATAGCCTCTGTAACAGCATGCTCAATGGTAAATTTCCTGTTACCATGGCAACGGGGGACGTCTCAAAATTGCCAAAAATCACTATTTTGCATTGTTTTTTCCATCAAAACTGATTTCAAAGTGCTGCAACTTCTCAATGAAATGAGATAGAGTAAAAGGTTTTTCAGCGTCGGTTACTGGTTACCCTAAGATCGACCTGAGGCCATTTTTAGCCTGTAACATGTCCAAAATTTTCTTGGAGATGAGGGGGACTCCGTCCCCCTTCAAACCCCCCAAACAGAAGGGGGCACATCCCCCTTCTGGCAACCCCCTCATGTAATATTTGGATGGGGGACGGCGCCGAAAAAGTGGTCACTTTTTTAAACAACATTTCTCAAACGAAAAACAGTGTTTGGGGTCTAAATAGGGCATTTGTTCACTGTTTGAGGCCTCAAAGGGGGGGGGGGGGCAAAAAGCCGTCGAAACACGCTTATATAAGGGAAAAGGTTAACCAAAAATTATGAAAAACCTTGGAATTACACAAAAACTAGATTTTCCATGTTACCTTATGCCCTAACACCGAAATTTGGTGAAAAAGTGTTGTTTTTTGACATTTTTTATTTTTTTATTAACCAAAAATTATGAAAAACCTTGGAATTACACAAAAACTAGATTTTCCATGTTACCTTATGCCCTAACACCGAAATTTGGTGAAAAAGTGTTGTTTTTTGACATTTTTTATTTTTTTTATTAACCTTTTACCCCATGAGCATATTGCAAAAAATGGCCGTTTTCATTGAAAAGCCTCCTGTAACAAGTTCAAACTGCTATGAAACTGTACAAAATGCTTCAATACTAATGAAACTTGGCACAAATGTTGACTACACCATAGCCTCTGTAACAGCATGCTCAATGGTAAATTTCCTGTTACCATGGCAACGGGGGGACGTCTCAAAATTGCCAAAAATCACTATTTTGCATTGTTTTTTCCATCAAAACTGATTTCAAAGTGCTGCAACTTCTCAATGAAATGAGATAGAGTAAAAGGTTTTTCAGCGTCGGTTACTGGTTACCCTAAGATCGACCTGAGGCCATTTTTAGCCTGTAACATGTCCAAAATTTTCTTGGAGATGAGGGGGACTCCGCCCCCCTTCAAACCCCCCAAACAGAAGGGGGCACATCCCCCTTCTGGCAACCCCCTCATGTAATATTTGGATGGGGGACGGCGCCGAAAAAGTGGTCACTTTTTAAACAACATTTCTCAAACGAAAAACAGTGTTTGGGGTCTAAATAGGGCATTTTTTCACTGTTTGAGGCCTCAAAAAAAGGGGGGGGGGCAAAAAGTCGTCGAAACACGCTTATATAAGGGAAAAGGTTAAGCTTTACTAGATTTATGGCCTGTATTTCTTCATATGACGCCAGTGCTGGTGACTTTAAAAGAAGTGGACAAAAAGTGGTGAAAATGAGCTACAAGATATCTTAAAACAACAAGAGGGCCATGATGGCCCTGAGGTCGCTCACCTGTATATAGCCCCCCCCCCCCCCGGCCCAATTTTTACCCAAGGGCTTTTATTTGTTTATTTGAACAGACTTGGTAGACACCCATAAGAAGATGTTTCATGCAAAACATCTAAGTTCTAGCTCATTAGGTTTTTTAAAAGAAGATTTTTTAAGTTTTTATTATACACATATAGTTAAAAACAATGACACCCCTCGGGCAGGGCCAGTTTTGACCCCTGGGCTTTTATTTGAACAAACTTTGTAGATATTTACTTAAAGATGTTTCATGCTTAATATCTAAACTCTAGCTATTTGGGTTTTTTCAAAGAAGATTTTTAAGTTTTTGCTATACACATATAAGGAAAATCAATGACCCCCGGGGCGGGGCCAGTTTTGACCCCAGGGCTTTTATTTGAACATACTTGGTAGACACCCATTAGAGCATGTCTCATGCTAAATATCTTAGCTCTAGCTCTTTGGGTTCTTTAAAAGAAGATTTTTTAAGTTTTTACTATATGCATATAGGGAAAATCAATGACCCCCTGGGGCGGGGCCAATTTTGACCCCAGGGCTTTTATTTGAACAAACTTGGTAGACATTCACTAGAAGATGTTTCATGCCAAATATCTAAGCTCTAGCTCTTACGGTTCTTTAAAAGAAGATTTTTTAAGTTTTTACTATATGCATATAGGGCAAATCAATGACCCCCCGGTGCCGGGCCAATTTAGACCCCAGGGCTTTTATTTGAACAAACTTGGTAGACATTCACTAGAAGATGTTTCATGCCAAATATCTTAGCTCTAGCGCTTTCGGTTCTTGAAAAGAAGATTTTTTAAGTTTTTACTATATGCATATAGGGAAAATAAATGACCCACTGGGGCAGGGCCAATTTGGACCCCAGGGCTTTTATTTGAACAAACTTGGTAGACATTCACTAGAAGATGTTTCATGCCAAATATCTAAGCTCTAGCTCTTACAGTTCTTTAAAAGAAGATTTTTTTAACTTTTTACTATATGCATATAGGAAAAATCAATGACCCCCTGGGGCGGGGCCAATTTTGACCCCAGGGCTTTTATTTGAACAAACTTGGTAGACATTCACTAGAAGATGTTTTATGCCAAATATCTAAGCTCTAGCTGTGACGGTTCTTTAAAAGAAGATTTTTTAAGTTTTTACTATATGCATATAGGGAAAATCAATGACCCACCCAGGGCGGGGCCAATTTTGACCCCAGGGCTTTTATTTGAACAAACTTGGTAGACATTCACTAGAAGATGTTTCATGCCAAATATCTAAGCTCTAGCTCTTAAAGTTCATTAAAAGAAGATTTTTTAAGTTTTTACTATATGCATATAGGGAAAATCAATGA